GGAGATTTTTGATATTGCGCCATAAAGTTCCGGAGGACAGAGAGGGGTCAAGCTTGGAATGAAAATACCTCTTCTTTTCACACCTTACAATTTGCGTAGCATTGTTTCTTGCTGTGCGAAAGATGTCCCAATTAGTTTTACTACTATTTAATTTCCAAGCACGATATGCTTTACTGCGGGCTTTAATAGCTCTTCGAACTTTAAGGTTGAACCAAGGACACGAATTAGTTTTGCCATATCGAATTGGAATATGAGCGTCGAAGGTGGACAGTAGGTTGTAATTAAGGAACTCAATTTTTTCATTAACGGTCGGAAGATACCAACAGCTACGCCAATCGATGCTGTCTAGATCCAAGAAGAGAGCATTTGTGTCACATGAACGAAAATCTCGAAACGTATAAATCTGCTCAGAGGAAGAACAGCTAAATTTAATATCAAGCGCACAAAAAATTAGATCGTGGTCAGATATAAATGAAATTTGGTCAAATTTTAAGACAGATGAATCGTCAGACACGATAAAATAGTCCAGAAGACTGGGTTTACAATTATTACCGTACCTCGTCGGCACTGAATTATTAACAATCGAGAGACCGGAAGTCGCAACATTATCTAACAGAGAACAACACAGAGAGTCACAAGCAAGAATATTAATATTGAAATCGCCACATATAATAATATTTTCGTAGTCTACTACGAAAGAAGAAAGGGATGCAAAAAACGGATTAAGGGATACATATTTGTTTGGGTTATATACACACGAGATAAGAGCCTTATTAAAACGGTCAGACAATTCGACGAACAAAAACTCCACGCCCCCATCGTTCGACTGACAGATTGTGCGCATGCTAATGTGGTTCTTGCAGTAAATAGCAACGCCACCGCCTTTTTTACCGACCCTGTCATTGCGCACTAACTTATAGCTATTAATGTTATAGTAAGCATCACACACATCACTGACAAACCAAGTTTCGGATATACATATAACGTCAACACCTGAGGACTGGAAAACATGTCTCACATAATCCATTTTTAAATTGTTCAGGCTCCGCGCATTAAAGTGAACCACCCTAAGACCACTCTGCTGGGAACATAGAATATTTAACATAGCA